CAACCTGATGACTTTATGTAGTATTCGCGGTTTACTCAGACACATGCACTTTTCTTCTGTTCTTTTTTGCAGCGTCCTGAAGACTTTGTCGTCAGTACCGCAACGGAAGCTACATGTATGATCATGACAGACCTTACAGGTGCGTAAATGGCTTACTAATACCAGTTTGGCATTTTAGATTTCTTGTGGTAAAGAGAATGCTTGGCTTTCCTACAGTACCATGCCGTCTGTTTACTGCTTTTAAATATATGATTAGCACCCAAACGCAAAAAAAACACATGAAGTTAACTAACCTTGTATCTCTGTATATTTGTCACTCCTGGCTCCGTGTTTTCTATATTGTATTTTCCTTCACCGCTAAAAAACTATCTCTGAAAAAAATGTAATTTTCAGCCGAACCTCAGCATGACACGAACCCGTGGTCACGCTGCTGTATGTGGATCGTGCGTTGCTGTGGGAGGGCAGCAGCATCCAGAGGACAGGAATATCTCTCGAAGGAGAGTGGCCAAGGTATTTCAAAATTACTCTTTCTTTATGTAACAACTCTGCTAACTTTGAAACTTCTAATCAGACGCCGAGTTTTGAATCTCATATCAGAGATAACAATATATGGTCCGTTTGTTCTCTTTTTTAGGAGTTTTAGGTGTTCGCAAATACTTCTTCTTCATAAAGGAGAATGTAAGCTCCAACTGGAAAGATCTGTCCTTTCATCTTGGGTTTAACACAGCAGACGAAGATAACATTTCCGGCAGAAACCGGGACGATAAGGATCGCTGCATGGACATGCTGAAGGAATGGAAGAAGAAGAAGGGAGACGCCGCTACCATAGAGGTCCTGACGGAGGCTCTGTCAGAGGCAGGGCTGCAGAGCGTCGTGGATGGTTTGAAGAACAAATTCACCGATATCGGTAGGCTCTTATAATCAAAGAGGTCTATAGGCATTGCTTGTTGAATGTCAGGCGAGAAATATAGTCTCCACCAGACTCCATTGCAGGCTGAATGAATAGTAGAAATCGGCCGAAAAAAAATGGCAACTACCCTGGAAAGCTAAATTCTTTTTAGGTTGATTTTTATAATTTATTCAGCCTCCAATAGAGTACGTCAACTTTAGTAGTATTAGAGATAACCAATTTCTTTTCTCTGTATGTCACCCTCTGTACCTAATTTACCTTGGGAATTTCAGTTTTAATTCCCTTGCCCCTATCGTAAATACCTTGACAATGGGATGTGGAGGAGTCAAATTTAAAGAATCTGACAATAACTACTGTGCTGTAAAGTTAACAACTTACATTTGCTACATGCCACTTGAGTTTGTCTGCATGTTTGTAACATTGTTTTTTTTTGCGTTTCTAATACTCATGTAAAGTTTGCACTTTGTTCTTTTCTGCAGTAACGTAGAAACCATGAGCTGCGGTGACACGTGAAGGTACAGTGAGTGAAACCTACAAGATCTGACAACAGCACGGGCCTGTAGAATTATACGATATGCTAAAATGATATTATAACTAACATGATGAAGATAATAACTAACATATATCAGCAAAGGGCCATTTTAGTTACAACATATTACTTACTAACGTAAAGGAACGAGAAAGAGAAAAATGCAATATTATAATCGAATCTTGTACATATAGTAAATAATAACATTGATTTTTAATTGACTTTTACTAAAAATAAAAAAAGCAAACGTTGCTGGGGAATAAGAGTATGTGGCATTTGAATTTAACTTTAAAAGATAAAGATAACCATGTATGTAAATATAAGATGTCCCATGCGTCACACATTTGTTATTTTACACTCATTTTGGCTAAGGATGTTCTAACTAATTTGTAATTTCTACTTGGACGCTTGTTCCGTTTCATTATCAGTCAAACGTATCTAGAAGAGAATCATCAAGAAACAGAACAGTGAAAAATGGAAGCTGTAGTTTATTAAATAATGGCAATGATATAGGAGTTGACATTGCTCTATGTACGTGTATAAAGTAATCTAAAATCAATCGTAGCTACAATTGAGTGTATTAGGGATTTTCATTCTTACTACTTACATTCGAAGCTGGTCTGGTAACTGGTGCTGTATTTGTCGATCTCACGGCCGCATACGACACAGTTAACCATCGTGCCCTCCTCACCAAAGTGGCCCACATAACCAAGAACACCAAGGTGGTCCGTATCATCGAGTCGCTCCTGACAAATCGCCGATTCTTTGTTGAAATGGACGGAAAACGCAGTAGGTGGAGAACACAGAAGAATGGCCTACCCCAGGGTTCAGTGTTAGCTCCGATGCTCTTCAACATATATACCAATGACCAGCCGACTTTCAACAACATCCGGAGGTTCATCTACGCAGATGACCTCTGCCTGGCAACCCAGTCGAAAAGCTTTAAAGTCATTGAGAAGCGACTTGAAGACGCCCTGGAGTCCTTATCAGGGTACTACAGAACGTGGTTCCTGAACGCCAACCCGGGGAAGACCCAGGTCTGCGCATTCCACCTCAATAACCATGCAGCATCGAGAAAACTCAGAATCACCTGGGAGGGAAAAGAACTCGAAAACACCCCACACCCAGTGTACCTTGGTGTCACCCTTGACAGGACTCTGTCCTTCAGAGAGCACGTCACCAAGCTAAGGAAGAAGGTGTCTGCCCGTAACAGCCTTCTCTACAACCTGGTAAACTCCAGCGTGGGGAGCGGACCCCAACACCCTCAAGCAGACAGCACTGGCTTTGTGNAAGCACACAGACATCTGTCTGGAGACCTCCTGCATGTTGTTTACAATGTCATGAACAAGTTCGAGAAGCTGTGTCTCACATGACCTTCCGGTCGAAACCGTTTTGTAGCTGATAGAAGAGATCATGCTGTTCCGCATGCTTCATCAGGCTACTACAGATAACATGTTCCATTAACTTAGAAGCAATACAGGTTAAGCTAATAGGTCTGTAGTTTGCTTTATCGTACCTTTGGCCTTTTTTAAAGATCGGAGTCACGTTTGCGTGCTTCCAGTCATCGGGGATTTTACTTGTTAAGAGTGATTTTTTAAATATTCGTGTCAAGGGATCGGCTAGCTGTTCAGAGAGTTCTTTAAAGATTTTTGGACTAAGGCCATCAGGGCCAGCAGCTTTTGTCAGACTCATGTCAAGTAATGAAATATCTGTATCTGTAAAGCCGGTATAACCGCCTTTCGGCGTGACACATCAGCTTCGCAGGCACGCGGCGCGGCGGCAGCAGGCTACATCACACCGATCGACTTGTTACACCTAGCCCTTGGACATCTAACTCTAGACATTGTTTAAAGCTATCTAATGACAATGCCCCTAGTGTACTTGGTGACAGCGAGTTCCACTCTGCAATAGTTCTAGGAAAGAATGAATTCTTGAACGCCTCAATCCTTGGTTGATAACTCTGGTACTTGAAGGCATAGCTATTTCTTGTTCTTTTCTTAGCTGGTTTGTTAGTCATTTTGTACATATAATTCTCTCAAGGTAGCAACGCCCACGAAATTAAAAGTAGTTAAAGTAAACAAACAAAAAATGTAATCCTAAGGATATAATAAAGTATGCAAACAATTCAGATCCTTACCAATTATTATGTAAACATATTCATAACTCTGCGAGCCAGAAACAATGTGTAACTCTCTGGGAAGAGAACAACATTGAAGCATTTAGAGTAACCAAATACACAATTACAATGTTTTCAATACAAAGCCATCCATCTCTACCTTGCAACAAATCTGGTAGAAACTAATACATGTAATCACTGCAATAAAAAGCACACAACCAACTACCTATTGTTATTGTAATGTTGTTGGAACCATGGAAGTATTTTGGAGAGAAGCCGAGCATCACACACAACATTATAGTATATCCGAGATTCAGTCGTGATGCTGTACTTCCTGACACTGGCTTTCTTCAGACTGTTCCCCAGCTTCTTCGTCATTGACCCTAAAGAGTTGAAACCGCTGCGAATCCGCTGATAGCCCTTCGTCTGCGAAATATTCGAATGTTATCGTCAACCTCATGCGCACGCATATTCAACACATTTTTTAAAATAACCTTTAACTTCCTCATCTATGTACTTATTATGAACTAGAGTTCCACGACCTCATACCTTCGCCAAATGATGTTAGCTTTTATGATTAAGAAATTATATATTAGTCTCCCTTATTATGCAAATAGGATCCTCAATTGCATGAATTATATCTGTTGATCATATTCTCCACCAAAAGACAGTATTATCTTAACAAAGAATGCCATGATGACATTTTCTCATAAATTATGCAAATGAGGTCCTTATCTGAATAAGTTATGTTTAATTATGTTCACCTTAACTTAACTTTCTAAACACCCCAAGTATAAAAGTCCAGGCAGTTACCACTATGCAATTATAATATTTTCTCATTAATTATGCAAATTAAGTCTTCATTTGCATAATCGATATCTGCCTGTGTTTCTCTCATTCTTAATAACATGTCACAAGCTTAAACTTCCTATTATGGAATACAGCTGATAAATAGAATTTCCTCATTAATTATGCAAATTACATCCATATTTGCATAATTGTAATATCATTATGTCAAGCATCACTCAAGCTACCTACATACCAAAAATCACGATGATCCATCAATCGGTTCTTGAGTTATCCCCCTTTAAACATTTGTCCATTAAACCCCCCTGCAGTTCTAGAGCAAGCAACAAGGAGGCTCAAACTCATGTCACTTTATCCCCAGCACAAGAGCTATCTACCATCTAAATTTCGTCACCCTAGCATGTCTGGATCATCAGATATCAAAACCGAAAGTTCAGCTGCAGTACCATGACAAGCCGCCAGGTGGCCCAAAATCTAATCATTTTGAGGTCTCATCAAGACCTACCCACCTACCAAGTATCAAGACAATCCATCAAGACCTTCTCAAGTTATCGTGTTGACAGACAGACAGACACACACACACACACACACACACACACACACACACACACACACACATACACGAACGCCCCTGAAAACTTCTTGGCGAAGGTAATAAAGTAGACATTAGGTTCACATATGCATAAAGTTATATACATAGAGACTACAACACGATGTAACGTTATATTTCGTATCACCCAAGGTACCAGCCCGTACGCTTTATATATTTAATATTTATCTTTGGGTTGGTGTCGGTCTGGTACCTCGGGTGATACGGAATACACTGTGTTGTATTCTATATTTATCGTACAACGTCAACAATAGAGACAAATGAGACCTTCGGAGTCAGACTCACCAGACGTACTTGTAGCTTCTCTCTCGAGTTTGGCGGGCATTTCTATGGCCTGATCCAAGGTGATGGCTTGAGAGGAATCGAGCTGTTGTGTGGCGTACACAGACATGTCTTTGGGATCAGGGTGTGCAAAGAATTCCGGTTTCTGCAAGTCAGCAGAATAACAAGCATATGAGGACCAGTGTAAGCTGATTTTGTTCACCTCCAACACTTTAAGCTAGAAAAAAAAGCAAGCATTAAGAATTAATGAGTAACCTATTGACGAGTATATCACCTGCTTTACATTTGTTTACTTGATGTAGTGTAGCTCGCTTACCCGCAGAGCAAGCTTAAACTTGCTTGAGTCCTGGGAATTTTCCAAGGAGGTGAAGTACATTCCGGACTCCTTAAACCGCAGTACAACATAGGTACCGCCGTCAACAGGTGTTGTACTGGTGTAGTCGTACACGAGCACTGTGGCTGAAAGAAACAATAAAATTCAAGTGGAAAATCGGGTCAACTTAGAAAAAAAATGGATATTTACAGTTATTAGCAATAAATTTTATAAGTTTCTGTTTTGGCTGAAGTCACGGTGTTTGAGGGGATCGTAACTATAATGAACATAGAAGCACATGGATGATAACGGTTTGGTGCATTTCTATATTGCCAAATTGGACCAGGACAATCACTAGCAAGACAAACATATTGTAGTAATCCGTAACAGTTTGTTAGAGAGGCCCGCAGCATCACTATATTTAAGAACATGTGTCGGGCCCACCTGCTCACACAGCAGAAGCACCAGTTGACCCGGAGACGTGGCCCCAGATACGAGAACATTCTGGCGGCTAGAAACCGCATGAACTGTATCTAGTGCTAAATGGACTGATATACTAGTATTCTAATCTATGCTGTTTTAGTACCCTTATACTTATTTTTATATACTTATACTAGGTTTAAATGTGTGTCTAGTTTGTGTGCTTGTGATTGTTTTGTGTGTGGGCCACAACACCAGCCCCCCGCTGCCTGTGGCCCACGAGTATTGTACTTGTTTGCAATCCTAATAAATCAAATCAAATCAAATCAACTGATCCAGTAGTAGAGTTTTAATTTTCTTACGAATATTGTAGTAAAAATCGTGCGTTTTATATGGGCCTCATTTTTGTCAACGGATTAGTCAAACTTGTCAGGCGTACACGTAGGCCCACTGGATTGGTACATGTAGAAGACGAG